AACCGGGTGTCAACCTCTGGAAAAAGGTCAGCAGCCACCCATGTTGGTACTACAAGTGCGGCTGAAGAGGTAGATGGCACATGGCACAACTCGTGCCATCTGTCGGGGGAATGTTCAGGGGACAACCCAACGGCACCCAACCCAGCCGACCCACCGGGCACCCCGGGCTCAGCGCCATAGACCTCCACAGAGGCGTGAAAGAAGCCCAGGCCCAGCGAGAGGAGACGATCCGTGGTGGCCTTTGGCCGTGTAACGGGCCAAAAAGGCCCAGATTTCTGCGCCTTTGGCCCCCAAAAACCGAAGAAAGCGCCGTGGGAACGGGTCTTCGGGGCGTTCTTTTTGTTTTTCCTCCGGCGGGGGCCGCAAAATCCCGCACTGGTATGGGGTCATGGAAAAATGTGGTTATTAGCTAGGAATCGTTCCCTTTAGGGGAAGCAAACTCTGCCATGGCTCACGCATATGCGCGGTTCGTCAAAATAGTGGTGCTTAGAACAGGTGGTGTCCGTTTTGGTTGGGTTGCCCGTTCAGTGCCAACCGGGGGGGCCTTCAATCACAATCTTGAGAGTCCCCCTTCATCCGTTTTTTTTTTTTTTAATAAAGAAATGCACTTGCGCGGGTGACACTTCATTCCGGGTTTCCAACGAGAAGTCTGACCCCAAAGCGACTCCCCAGAGCTAGTTCAGCCTTATATGAGGGTGATTAGAAGTTACTTCCTTGAAAAGCGTGCCATTGCATAGTTTAAACCCTTGAAAACGGCTTGATGCATGCTGGCAAATGCCCTTTGTGTTGGGAGGCAAGCCGAAATCCATGTTTGGGGGGTGCAGCCATGATTGAACGGTTTTATACCCGTAGCAACCCTCTTAGAACACTTGTTTCCGCCTTGTCCTTCAAAAGGTCGTACACGTGCAGCCTCGCCTCTGGACCTGCCACCAGGCAAACAAAAAAAAAAGGCGCGGCAAGCGCTGAAAAAGCGCGGCAGGGTGCACACCCACTTGAAGCCATAGGAGTCGCACGAAAAACCGAAAACCAAACCAAAACCCAAAAAGCAACAACCAACAGCAACAAATGTAGATGAGGAGCAGGCCCAAAAATCAAATGTACCCAAAGAGCACGGTAGATGCTCTACCCAAACACCGTGCAAATAAGAAAAGAAGAAGAAACAAAAACACCTACCGTGCTCAGAATCTACGGGTCATTCGAACCCATGCCCCCCCCCCCCCAATGCCCGATTTAATGGTCAACAGCATCAAACACTCAGCTCAGGTCACACCAATTTTACCCCCAGCCTTTGAACTTAACTGGCACCTCCAGCCTCAGCGCGCCGCAAGAGGTTTGGAGAAGCCCAATGTACTGCAAGGAAGCGAAACCATGGAAAAGGCGCAGTTTGGAGAAACTAGCTACAGGTTCAAGATTCCAAATGGCGACGGCTCCACTTGCTTGCTGCGGCGAACCATGACAAGCCCCGGAATCCAGGAATGGCTGGGACCTTTAAGTTGCCGCTGGGGACCACCCCCACACTCCGGCACAGTGAGCGCAGTCAATGGCTCGAGCATCCGGCCCACTGCCATCCTGCCAAAGCACTTGGCAGCGAATACCGCGCTCTGCCAGGAACTGGTGTGTGTGTAAAACCTTGGAGGCCTGCTGCGCTCTTCTGACCCTGCCTCATGTGCCTCCACTGTTGTGCGAAGGCGCTCGGCCTAGGCTGTGCTGCACGCATTCACGGCGAAAGGCTTGCGGCCGGACTGAGCTCTCTCTCTGTTCAATCAAATGGACCAATGGCGGGTCATGGAAAATGAACGGCTCCGCGGGGTGCGTCGTGGCAAAAGTTCAGGAAAATGAGTTCCCTGGCCCCCCAAAAAATCTGGATGCAGCAAGGTCGCCGAGTCTTCTTCAGGCGCAGGGAGCGCGAGCATGGCACCGGCTGCTCATGAGGGGGATCACTTCTTTGGCATCCAACGCCAGGTGAAAAAACGTATCAAACGCATGGCTCTTGAAAACACATGCACAGTACATCGCGGCCTCGATTGCAGTGCGGTCTTGCCCTTCATCAGTGGCTCGCGCGATTTGTCGGTTGATATGTCGGGCTGCGGTCGGCGTGGAGAGCAGCACATCGGCTGTCGGCTTTTGGGGAGCGGAAGCTGACCAAAGGCCGGCTCCAGGCTACTTTGAGCAGTTGTTGAACTCACGGAAGGCAATAGAAAGAAGTTTTTTTCCGGGTCCACCTGTATACCCCCTGACACAGGTGAGTGGTTTTTTGAGAGCACCCTTTCGTGGCTGGTATAAAGGGAAATTCAAAGGAGCACCACCCACGTTGTTGGGGGGGCTCAACAAATTTGAGATTCTGCAAAACACGCAAACACAAACACAAACACACGCGCGCACACACACACACACACACATGCTGAAGACACGCTTGGCAACTCCTCCCTCCCTCCCCCGTCTCGCCATAACAGAAGCCATCCAGGAGAATTCCGGCGCTGGCGACTGGGCCAGGCAGGACCTGAGCATCGGACTCAGCCGAGGATCCGAAAATTCCATATTTTCTTTACCGAGCCTTGTTTCGAGGAAACCAAAGAAAGCAAGTTTGAGAAGAAAATCAATATGTTCACTTGAAGGGACGGTTGAAGCCTGATTAGATTAGATTTCCTCCTACATTCAACCATACCCTATGACCCTGCTCCCCCAACACCACCCCGCCAACCAAGTACATTCCCTGCTTGGCCTGCTTCCGTCTCTGGCATAGGTTGATGCACCACATTGCACCACCAAAACCCTCAAGATGACATTCCGCACCATTTTTGTTAAGTTTCAACAGGAGATCCAAGGCGCCCCCACCCCACGGAACCCTCTTAGAACAGGTTCTCATCAAAGCCTCACTTGGGCAAAGTCCAAGAAATAGATCCCCAAGACTTCCCCTCGATTTCGGGGCGCTATGTTTTGTCGGCTCTTCAAAAAGGCCTGAGAAAGGGTACCCTCGGTCCCTCGGTGAAAAAAGACACACCCAACCAACACGTGTGCGCATGCATGTCCGGCACGTGGCTGTCAACATGCAGGCATACAACATGTTTCCAAGCGCCACCAAGTTGCTCTCGTCTGCCATGCTGCCTTGTAGGTTCAGCAAGGCAGAAACTGCTTAGCAACTTTGAACCATCTGTACAGGTCCCAGGTAGCCTCAGTCCCTTGGACCCTTGCAGGTGCGTCGCGGAGGGAACGCGTCCAAGGTCTGTTGTTTGCTCGATTTGAAGCGGACAACCCGTCAGGGTCTAAAACAGTAGAAGTAGGACTCATGCCCGTCGCATCACCTGCAATCAGCACGGCACCATCTCTTTGAAATGGATGCCGTCTCAGCCTCTGCGATTCCTTCAGTCGCCTTGACGCACACCGTCATCCCGGCGAAAGTCTTGGAGCAAACGCACCTCTTAATCTGACCCCCTCTTCCGAGACAGCCAATCCTTGGTCAATGCTCAGGAAAAAAACAGGGAGAAAAAAAAAACACACACCTGCAACACCTATGAGATTCGAAACTGCCAATTGATGTTTGGCAAAATGTGCTCAGGGAGCAAGATATGGATGTCTCTTTTTTTTTGGGTGCCCCTTTTAATGGTTTGAAAGGAGGGAAAAGCAAAGCCACCACTTTGTTTTTCTGTGTTTTTTTTTGCTTTTTGCGTGTTGTGTGTGTGTGTGTGTGTTCTTTCTTGGCGGGGGGAGGGGGGTCCCCTGAAAAACACTCTCATGCCTGTGCCGTCATATGCCCATATTTACAGGCATTGCCCGGATAGGTTGGTACCCTTACGAGGGGTTTAATTATCCAGAATGACTGATGTCACAACTTGTGGCCATCCAAAAAGACCTAATCAGGGAGCTAAGTTCAGTCAAGGAACATGAAGGAAACCAAAAGACACAGGCCAACAAGGTAAGGAAGCCCAAAACATGAAGGAAACCAAAAAGGCGGTTAGAGATAGAAAGGATCGCGTCAAAGGCCAAGAATCCCCGTCCGCAATGCGCTGGCTCTTAGCTCGGTCCACCCGGCCAGTGCGGTGGTAGACGTAAGCCGTGTGCGGCGACCCGTCGGCACCCAGAACTGTGGCCACGGAGCGGCTGTACAGATCAGGATATCCTGAAGCCCAAGGGCTGCCAACAAATTCTCAAGCCAGCTTCCAAAGGTGGTCCAAGGCCAATAGTTTTTCCGGAACCCCGGTACCCCCTTTCAGCTTCCCCGCAATTGTTGGGAGGTGGGTGGGTGGGAATCCGCTTCAAATCCGATTCCCCAACCACCAAGGCGTTGCCTGAACGAACGAATCCGGGTCTCTGAGAACTGTTAGGGAGTTTGGGGGGGGGTCAGGGGTGTCTGCGTTGGTACTGATATGCACTGCATTCATGCACTACTGGGCACTGACGTCGCAGCTAGTCATGGCCTAAACCATTTAGATGCAAGTAAGGGTCCCAGTGAACATGTAAAAAAGAAGGAGCATATTTCTGTTGTTGCAGATCGCCATAAGCCCAGTTTGCGAATACGTGTTCAGTTGAGCTTTGGACAACGTGCACATTGATGTCCACCAACAGTTGCCGAGGGCGCAACGCCCATTGAAATGCATGGGCGATTTCGGGGTGTGTGGGGACCCGCATCCTCCCTAAGAATGGCGTCTCTGTGGCGTCCCTTGGACAACCAACCCGGAAAAGGGTCCCCCCAACACGAAAAGGGCCCTTTCCAGAGGCGCACCCTGTGGCCCAAGCAGCTCAGATACGGCCAGACTCCCAGCATTCCAACACTCACGACATGCAAAGCTTCCATTTGCTGAAGTCCACTGGAAAGAGCCAGTAGTGATAGATTCACTCTAAAACCAACAAGGTTGGTTTTAGAAAACAATAGAAATGCTTGAGCAAACGGAAGAAAGTAAAACAAACAACTGCTTTGCAACTTGCAGCTTGATCAAGCCGCGGCCTCAACAAGCAACTTTAAGCATGGCGCCTGGCCTCGTTTCGCAGTTTGAATGGCACCCTTTCCGGGTTGCAGGAAGACCGAATTGTCCACAGGGAAGCACCCTGAAAAGTGGGTTGGACATAAAAATCCCCATGTAAAATGATGTCCAAAGAGCCAGTGTCCAAGTTAAACTCATCCCTCTAAAACCAAAAAAAGAGGCACCTTAAAAAAAAAAAAAAAAAAAAAAAAAACATCCATCTGGCCTATGAGAAAAGCTTTGCTGTTTTCTAAAAAAAAAAACACCTAAGAGAATAAAGCAGAAACATGGACCACCGTTCTTGTGCCCGTCTTCTCCGTTGGTTCGGCCCCGCCTTCGATCTTGTCCGCCTCTGCCAGCTTGGCGGCCATCAGCGCCCCCGAGCGGCTGGGGGTCAGCAGCGCGCCGCGCACCGAGCAGCTGGTCTCCTCCAGGCACAGCGCGGGGTAGGGGCCGTCCACGTACCTCGCATTCGCTTTTTTTCGGGACCAAAAGGACCCGGGGGCCCCATCCAAAGCCCCCAGCACACGAAGTGGTGGACTTCTTGGGTGAAGGAAAGTGGGACCAAAAGCGTGGGCCTCATCCAAAAACCCCCTGCACACCAAGTGGTGGACTTCGGGAGGGGAAGTGTTGCCCCTCATCGACCATAAATAGATCTAAGATTTGGCCCCCCCCTCCAAAAGTGCCAAACCCTTTTGGGTGGGGAAGCACACCAGAAAGTCCCCAAAAAGCTCTCAAGTCTCAGGATCCAGCCGAGGTACAAGGAGGCGCCCGGCAGAAAGGCTTCCTGAGCCTCCATGCCTGTGGCCGGGGGTGGGGGTGGGGGTTTGGGGCAGTGTAGCACTGGCGGATCCCTTTGCACACCGCACTGCTGGGTGCGGTCAGGAACAAATCGCTCATGCACACCCGGGACTAAGAAATCCCCGCTCGATGCTAATGGGTGTGTGTGCGCTTGAGGTTGGGTTCCTGAACGTGGTTACAGGGGTGTGCCCAATTCAGTGAAGTAAATGGTAAGCTTCAAGGGTCAAACGGGCGTCCTTGTTGCCCCTCGTACACCGTTTGTCGCGAGCCGTGAAGGTTGATTGAACCACCCGCGCCCACCTAACACTCCACACGAAAGGACACCAAAAAAAAACAGGCCCGCCAATGCAAATTTCAACCAATGCAAATTTGAAAAAAAAACTCGCCCCTTGCCAAGTCCCGTCCACTCTGAACCCCTCGCCTTCATTGAAGGGCTTTGTCCAGGCCGCGTTGGAGTCGTCGTCCGGCCGCAGCGTGCCGTACACGAAGAACCCCACCACCGCGCTATCCGAGGGCGCCCGCCCCGCGCGCCGCGCTGGCGCGGGCTTGGGCGCTGGCGGACTGGCAGGAACCGGAGGAGCCGCACCCGCCTTGGACAAGGGGCCCCAATCGGCCCTTGGAAACTACTAACAACCTTCTGCGAACGGGGGGCGGGTCAGGTCGCCAAAACTCCCGGACATCCTCAATTGGTTGCTTTGATTCGGTGGTTTGCCTTTGGGTTCCTTGCGAGCTGCGGTTAGCATATGCCCCAAACGCCGCAAGCGAAAATTGTAAATGTTGGTGAGTCTCTTGGTTTGTGTGGGACGCTTTCATGGTTCCCTGGGAGTCCTTAGCATGGTTGAAGTTTTCTATGGGTTGACCTCGCATGAGGATGTCTCAAAATTGTGGAAAGCAACCCTTTTCAGTTGGTATCTGATGGGGGAACACCTCAAAGAAACCAACCATTTTTAGGCGGGTGTCCAAAGATACGAAACCCCCCCCTCCCCCCCAAAAAAAAACATCAAGGGTTGGTTCAACCTTTTGGTGTCCTTTTAACGCCCGTCTTAAAAAGCACAGTTAGTAAGGAAACCCACCATTTTTGAGGAGCCCCCCTCCCGCCCAAACAAATAACCTCTTAAAAACAGGGGGAGTGCCCTCCGCACACGAAGCGCGCCACCTTGGCCGCGCCGTCCGCACCGTCCACGCTGGGCCTGGGGCCCCCGGCCGGCGGCTTGGAGCTCGCCTTGGGCCCCGGCGAGGGCGCCCGGGCCTTCGGCTTGGCCTTGGGCCCGGGGCTGGGCGCCCGCCGCTCGGGCTCCTTCCTCGCCCGTTTCGCGGACATCCGCGGAGACCGAAGGAGGGCTCAGGGAAGTTGTTCCCAGCAAGAGAATACGTGCAGCCAAACACGGGGAAGACGCTGCCACATAAAAAGAGAGGGAAGGGGCATGAAACCGCCAAACCGCCACGTTTTTGGCTCCGGAGGCTGTGCCGGACAATCAGCAGCCTTTTTCAGCACCCGCCCACTTCAAGGAAAAACCCCGGCGTCGTGGCAACAGAAACGCGTCACGTCGGCTGTCGGCTCCACTCCTGGCGGGGGTAGAGGCGGTGCGCACCGCGGAGCCCTTGGACCCGTCCTTCAAGGGCGCCAGCAGCGGCTCCTTGCGCAGCTTCGCCAACTCCTGCGCCAAGAAAGGAGCGATGAAAAAACGCCGAACCAGGGCATCTATATCCAGTCTATATACGTGTATGTATTTATATTTGT